ACAAAAAAGCCTGGCAAAGCTGTGTTCACTCTTACTGGGATGCAGGGTCTCCCAGCTCTGCCATATGGCACTCTGCATCAGTCCATGAGCAAACTGTTAAATTAAGGTGGAAAAGAAAAACCTAGGTGAGTTGGAAGACTTTCATATTTTTATTTTTTAGCAAAGAATATCAATTAAGCAAAATCTTAGTATAAATTTAAGGCTGACTTAACCATACCAAGTTGAGAAGAATCAAAGTTTTGTTTCTCCCAGTAATATGTGTTTACTTACTATCCTTTTACCCTATGATTTATTTGGCAAAGTACGTTTTTTGGAGCACAATAAAAAAATAAAGTATGTAGTGGCACTGTGGCAGGGGCAATGCTTTTTGGAAAAGCTAACTTTTCCAGTTTCTTGGTTTCCATTTATATTTGTAGTCTAAATTGCTCTAAAGGGCTTTTTTATATATATCAAAGTCATAATTTGAGGTAGCATTAAATCATGCAGTGAATAATTGTTTAGACTTTCATGATGTTGCACATGCTCTCTTGCTAGGGTGATATTCTTGCATGGAAGTATATGATCTCTATTTTCTTAACTTTGAATGGAGTAAGGATAGGATGTGGCTCATCAAGTCTTTAGCTGTATCTGACTATAGATATAAGTTCTAAGTAAAACACTAGCTAAAAAAATGCATTGAAGAGTTTAATCAGGATGAGTTTGAGCTCCAGCCTTATTCAGAGATGATGGGTTTTTTGGCTTAGACTGCTCCATTAAATTAAGTGTCTTCAAATTTTTTAGGTATTTTGCTTTGCTTCTTTAGGGTAAAAGTGATGTATCTATTGCAATAGCTTAAATTAATTTACATAAAAAGGAGTGCTGATTCTAAGCTGAAAGCATTGTGGGTATATTCTGTCTGCTAAGCAGTAGCAGCATCTCTTCAGCCTGGATTATGCTTTTAAAAGGGTTGTTCTTGGCTTCAGTCTTCTGGACTTTGACTAAGAGAAAGATAAATCAAAGTTTTCCTGGTTCTGTTCTCTCAGTTCCCTCATCTAGTGGCAACAAACTTAAATTGCCTTAACTAAGATCTGTTTGTAGTTTTCCTTATGAACTACATCAGTGCAGTTAAGTCTTTGAAAAGATTGATTATAGCCTGTTTCAAAATTTATAACCAGTTTTTAAATGTAATTGTCATTATCTGTGAAAGGCCTTCTTAGAAAAGATGATTTACATTTAGTGTGTTAAATAACCTGTTGAATGTGTGTAGATGCGTGCCCTCTGATAAGCCACTCCAGAAGGTGTAACTTGGTACAGGAAGATCTCCGTAGCCAGCATTCCCATAGCCTCCTCTACCAGTCCTTCATCTGATGTCTGCAAGACTGGTAATTGGTACTCAGACCCAGAATCCATCTTCCAACTGGAACCAGCTGGATGCTTTCAGTACCAGTTTCTCCTTAGTTTTAACCTCAAACTTTGTCCATGCGCATCAGTTTGTATTATCTAAGGGTGAAAAGCTTCAACCTGCAAATGGACATGATCAGTCTGATGTAGCTATTTTGCTCTTTCTACATAGCATCCAACACAACGTAAAGTGATCTGCAAATGGGGAGACAAAATGCCTACTCTGAATGCATCACAACCTTAAAAGCAAAGAGGAAATAAGATACTATGAACACAAGTGATTAAGACAGTGCTCAATGTTCCTTATTTCCCCTTCCCTTCCAAGAGTCAGTGGATGCTAAACTGTTGAGTCCTACTATTGAGTTGTTGGATTCACAGCTCTCTTCCAATCCATATACAGCAGGATGGGATCCACTATTTGTGAGGAATCACTGGTATGCCACGTCCCGTCACTTCCCTTCCTGCGGGCAGCTGATGACACACAAATGATTCAGGGAGCAGTCAAGGCACCTCTGAAGTTATTCCAGACTTGCTTGTGCTCAGACACCTGATTCAGTCAGGGCTTTCAGAGTCAGGTGGCAAATGATCTCAGTGACCAGCTCCTTACTATAGTCTTAAAGGGCATGTAATGCAGACATGCTTGAAAAATAACCTTCACAGTCATTTAGAGAAGAGGTAGCTCCATAATGGAAGGTGCCTCAGGTAGAAGATGTATTTTTTTTATCACTTCTCCTTGCAAAGCCAAGGGAATGGATCATCTTCTTAGACCCCACATAAATCTAGCTTGGGGTTGTCCTCAGCAAAAGTAATGGGAAGTGAATTGCCAGTGCCCTTTCATAATTGCAAATCCTTAATTAAGGAAGGGTACAAGGAGGCACTTAAAATGTCAACCGCAGCAAGTAGCAGACTCCACTACTTCTGATAATAAACTATAACTTGTCAGACTAAAATTGTTTTTTTCATTAATGTGGTTGGTAGCATTCCAAGCCTGAAATAAAAGACATTGTTCTAGGGTAGAAGTAGATATCTTACTCCTTAAAACTGTGTGTGAGGTGCAAAAACTTTGAAGATGATGTCAGGCTTACTGGGCAGTGCCTTTTTGCTTGATTCTGCCTTGACTTACAATCATTTTAGAAGAAGGTAGAACAGCTAATTTAGTCTGGTGATCCCTTCATCATTTTGCTGTGAAGGGTTAATTTTCAGTTAGTGAAAACAGATTCTGCTTTTTGGCTCTTGGGTGAATATGTAGGTTTTTATTTGGATTTGGAGCTTGCCTGTTACTATGGCAGTTTATTGAGCAAAAGCTCATGTGCAGTGTCAAGTGGATTTTAAATAGAGAAAAAGGGCTTAAAGAATATTTCTGAGCATCTCAACTATTGCTTAATACCAACTTATCATGACGTTTATGTGAGTTTACTTTTAATTAGCAGGAACCTAGAGTGAATACAAAATAGTGTATACATACATATTTTTAAGCATTTTTGCTATACAGGGCTCTTATGTTTGCTTCCTTTGTATTTTTTTTTTCTGCTTTTCTAGTTTATGACTAGTTCTTGAAGCCCAGAGTACTGTTTTGTTGCCATCAAAGCACTCTTTTCTGCTTCACTTCCAAAATAGGACTTCTTCACAAAAAAAAGCAACACATTGTCTTGCATAAGAACTAAATTGGACCTGAAGGGATAGCTTTGCATCCTGATTCTCTACTTCTGTATACCATGCACATCATTTACACCTGTCTAGATAAATGTAAAAAAAAGGCAACCACATTGGGTTTTTTGTACTGACTAAAACCAGCAGAATACTAGGTATTTCAGGAATAGTAGATGGGCCAATAAAGCTTACCAAGAACAGGTCATAGAGAAGCGAGTATAAATATCTTTATGAAGGTCTTTATTCCTTTAAATACAGTATTACTTTTCATAAAGGCATTCAGAACAGAATTCAAAGACTCCTTTCCCTTTAAAGCAGCAATTCTTAAGTGAAAAAAAAGAAGAATAGTATTCTTACTTCTGTTGTTTTGTGTGGTTTTTTGGTCTGTAGCTGAAGTCTGACAGTTTCTGCCTGTTTACCACATATAGATTATTTTAAACTTTTTGGGTTTTTTTACTGGTATGCTAAGCAAAAATTTTCACTTAAACTGCATAGCTGTCTTTGCATACAGTTCCATATAAAATAATCAAAACATGAAATTGTATAACTGAAACAGTCTCCCCATAGAGGTAATTCATTTTAAAGGGAAACCAAAAACTGTAGGTTGATTCCTGTTAATTACACCTCTCCTTCAAAACACAGAATGCTAAAGAAAGCCTTGAGCAAGTGGCGTTCTTGCTGCTTATCTTCATAAAAGTCTGACTCTACGCTCATAAGATCTTCAGCAGTTTCCTCCCACCACCACTCTGTTTTCATAGTTCATATTTGTAACCTCATGTCTAGGCTGATGATAATCTTTCTCTGTGTTGGTTCAAGCGGTGAAGGCGAAACTCTAGGTTAGGCGTGGGGCCGGGCTACTGGCGCTACGGGAAGGAGAGCTGGAAGGAGTAAGGGTGGGCTCTAGAGAAGAGGACGTGTGTTGGCAAGGCGAGCGGGACGAAGGGGCAGGTTCGCTCTTACCCGTGCTCCTGGGAGGGCGTAGGGCAAAACCAAAGCCCACTGCTTCGTCAGAGCGGCGTACTGCCCTCTGGATTCCCCCCGCACTAGTAGCTGCCCAGGCTCATGGTGCAGCACAAAAATCAAATGTGCTTTTCCAGCAAATACACAAATATATACGAGGGAATGAAAAGCAGGATCTCCTTTGCCCCCAGCAGTTTCTTGCCTGCTTTCTGTGTGGCACGTCTGCAGTGGCCCTGACCCTTGCGGCTGTGCTCAGAAAGCTTTGGCTCTTGATCGTTCTTCCTTTTCTTTGACACATTATGATTTTTAACCAAAGGGTTTTTTTTAAAATTCCAGTAAATCTTGTGAGTTGCACCATTAAGCTTGTTTCTGTGCAAATACAGTAGTATGCTGTAACTTTGTATAGTAAAATATTTATGAAATAAAATCTGGCTTGTTGAAGGCCAGGACAATGCCGTATGACTTTATCAGGTTGTGAAGGAAGTCTTTTTGCTTGTAGTACCAACTAGCACAGGCAGTACATTCTCTTTCATTACATTGACGATCACAGAAGGAGTTGGGCATTTGTTCTGTCAATGTGTATCTATCAACAGTGATAGTGTAAGTCAGAACCTGCTTTCTGCTAGTGGTTTTTATTGTTTTTATTTAGAAGGCAGAAGTCTGAAATCCGAGCTCTAAAAAAATGTATGTAATAATAATCCTTCATTCCACATGTGGTTCACAGCCTAAATAGATGTAGATCATAACCAGCTGCTCAGTTTTAAGCTTAGCTCTGAGAAATTTGCAATGTTGCTGTGACTACTTGTGTATTCACAACTGTATTCCTATTGCAAAAGTCTGCAAGTATCATTCAGCCCCATTTACAACAGTCTTATTTTTTTCTTGACAGAAACAGCTTTATCAAGCACACCAGTGCTGTGAAATGTTTTGGTTTGGTTTGGTTTGTTTAAATGAAAACTATTCATTTTTTGCAAAAGTGTTACTTATTTGCCATTTGGGTTTTTTTGTAGGAGTTCTCTGGAATCTATCCTCCTGTGATGCACTGAAAATGCCAATCATCCAGGATGCCCTCGCAGTGTTGACCAATGCAGTGATCATCCCTCACTCTGGATGGGAAAACTCTCCACTTCAGGATGATCATAAAATACAACTCCATTCATCACAGGTGCTGCGCAATGCCACTGGGTGCCTAAGGTGAGTACTGCAAAATGTTTGCTTTGCCTTAATCACCTTGCTTTGGCTTGAATTGTTATTTCTCATTCTTAGGCATCTGTAAAGTAAATAACTGGTTTGTGTGCCAGCAAAGACAATGGATGACTTTCAGTGCTGTAAACTTAATGGTGGAAATTAATTAGAAAACAAGCTTCAGGCCATTCAAAAAGCAATCTCTAGAAGCGCTGCTGTAGATTTTCCATTTTTCGTAACAGCTTTGACCAATCTTCTCATCCAAGCTTGTATATTACAGATGTTTTTCTCTTTGTAGATTTGTCCCATTTTCCCAGTTGCTTAAGTGAAGTCAATATGTTCTCACTATTACGCCCAATTTAATCAGCACAAAAAGTAATGAAGATGCTCAAAAAACTAACATGCCTTACGGGTTCCAGATGCCATTGCTGGAGTTATGATAAATCTATAAAGTAGATTTTTTTTCTCCTTTGTGAAGATGAGAAATGGTTTTCAATAAGAGACTAACCAATTTAACATTGTGCAACTAGAATACTTAAATAGATCCTTAACAAGTATGGTATTTATTTATATTTATATTTGTATTTGTATGCCAAACTTGTAGATGCAACACCAAGGTGCACTTACATCAATGTATGCAACATGATCTGTCTGTTCCTAAAAATCACTGTAGCTGTGAGAATTAAAATAGGATGAGTAAGAAGAATTTCTGGTCTGACAAAGCCTTACAAAAGGATTGAGTCATAGCACTTTCTGAATTCCAATCCATATCACTTTGTTGAAATATTGTAACATAATAGGCAAGTTCTTTTAAGCATTTGTTTTAGGTTTTTTTCTCCTTGTATATTGGAGATTCTGTAATCTATCTCAGAGATAGGAAAATAAATTAGTTAATATTTTTACATACATACCAGAAAAATTGTTAGATGAATAGTATGTATCAGTAATACAGTCTATGTTTTATGCTGCATCCAAAGCAGATATCCATCAAAGAACTAAATAAAAAAAAACCAAAAAACATTGATTAGGAGGCAAGGTAAAATAGCAGTATTTTTTACATATCTATAGCAAGCACCTTTTTCTCTTTGTGCTGTTTCACCAAATGAAATATCTCCCTTTCAGAAGTAATATCTAAAAAGTTTAAGTGAAAAAGTGATAATTATTGATGGCTTATATGTAATCAGAAGAGAATGACATATAGAAGGTATTAACTTCCACATTGCAAATATACTTGTATTGGACCTGAAAGCAAGTATGTATATGTGAATACCAGCTATGCTGGGATATGTGACTGAAGCTAGGTATTTGTATACAAGCTGTATTGATTTTGAAAAGAATTTGGTAGTATAATTGTGTTGCATTACATTCAAATCACTAGGAAAAAAGTTGCTCAAATCATTGTGACAGAAGTCATTCCATAAAGACATGTATCATGTTATATTTTTCATGCTTCTGATGTTTAACCTGTCTCAGTTTAAAAGCTGCCTCTGAAAGAAGTGTCCATTATTAATTTGGGGCTTCACGGTGCCCCTTATCTGAACAAGCGTGTTCGGTGTTGGTCTCCCCTACACCATAAGCTCTGTCTTCCTGTGAATTTTTCCCAACTGCTTCTCAGGGACTGATGTCCATCCCCGATCCTGCAAACCTCAGTTCATCCTACCTCATAGTTAATGGATTCGTTGCACATTGGTCTTGAAATCTTTCTTTTTTCTTTCTTTTTTTTTTTCTTTTTTTTTTCTGTGAGTGTATGTGCACACCCATTTGCAAACTGATGTGAGCTTACTGTAGCCTGCACTCTGGGTCAGCCTGAGGACCTGTGGCCACATGAGAATGGTACGTTGCCTGATCTGATACACACTGCTTTGCAGCAAGGCTTGCTACCAAGTGCTTGATGGTACGCTGTCATAGCAGAATGGCTTCTGGTCAGCTCATGCAAAATAAGCTCATATCTGCCTGCAAAAGACTGTGCATATTATGACTCTTGAACCCTTCCCAGGTAGCTGTAATAATTCGAATGGCTGTCCTGAGCAAGTTGGTCTTCCTTCTAAATCCAGGCTTTTCAACTATAGTATGGCTTTTTACTATCTTTCTGATCTCAAACCCTCCTTATTTCCCAGATGCATCTTGCTCTCCTCTCTAACTGCTTCAGATATTTATTTGGCCTTCATCCATCTTCTTTAGATAATTGCATCCCACTTAGTCTGTGTGGATGCTCTTTGGCAGAGCCAGAACATTTGGAGAGGGTTGAACCGACTTTTGCTTCACACCAGCGGGAGCTTTCTGGTTCACCTTTCCCCAGTAACTGTTGAAAGCCTCTCTTTCTCTTTGAACAAAATGTCAAGTTTGAGTTTGTGCAAAGGAGAAAAGTGTAAGTTGACCTCTGAAATGGTGACTGGATTCTTGTGTTGTATTCAGCTAAGATGATGGGGCTGTAGGGGAGGAAACAGTGAATGTCAGAAAGCAAAGATTAGAAAGCTCTGTGTTTTACTGGAGATGAGTGGAGTAGCACATGCTCTGTGCAGGTAGTACCTTAGCTGGCATTCCTCAAATACCCACCACCCCCAATGAACCGAACAGCTCTCACGCTCTCCACTTGTGACTAGTTGTAAACCTCATATTCCCATTTCAAGATCTCAATGGATGGGGAGCTGATGAAAAGCAAGAATATGTGATGGCATTGCTGGCTGAGACATTGCTGTGCTTACCTGGTAAATGGAAAGTCCATTGTCATCCTCCATGGGATAATTTCTTCTAAGAGTCTGGTTTGATTGTCCTTCACCGTTTTCTTTTTCTCCTTTTGTTTAAGTTGTACTGAAGTTGTTTTAAAGGGACACCAGTCAATATCAGTTGCATCAGGGTTATCGGTGATGGTGTTCAGTATCAGGAAAAGCAGTGGTCTTCAGAATACTTGACAAATGTTTCTAAATCTCTAATGTTGACAGGTTTCAGAGACATCAGGTTGTATTACGTAAGGTTTAATGCTAACAAATACGCTAGGAGGCTTCTTTTTTTCAGTCTTCTGTACCTTTGGCTTTTTGATGCATTCACTGTTGAAAGCTTTAAATAATATCTGATAGGTGCTGTAATACAATCCATCCCATATACAACGCTAATACATAGTTTGCAATGGCCATTATGTCGGAATAGTCAGATCTTTGTTTTGTGATTTTCACTACAGTATATGAATTATTCTTTCTGCTGATCTTCCCTTTTCTCAGTTTGTTGATGAGAGTTTCTTATGTTTTTTCAATTTAGAAGTCACTTATTAACTACAATTTTAGTATTCTTTTCTGCTTATTCATTATCATTCGTAAGCAAGTTCTTAATAGATTTAAAATTACGTGATGTGGGACCAGTACTGCAACTCCAGTCACACAGTAATCCAGTTGAAATCAGTATGAAATCGTATGAAAAACAGCAGCAAAATCAGACCACCTTTTCCTGTTATAACCTTCTTTTCCTGTTATTTTCTTCTTTCCTGAAAGAGGTTGTTTACAAACTGCACTTTGCATACTTTTGTGATTTGGGGGGGGGGGGGGGGGGGGGGAGGCTACACAAGT